CCTATAAAGCTAAAACCTTAACCCTAAGTCTTATTTAACTTACTTACTACTATATATTTATTTCTATTAATCTTATTTCTATCCTTATGTCTCTGTATTTTCTTAACTATCACTTATACTATTATCTATCTCTTATCTTACTAGTTTATCTTATCTTACTATCTTATTATTAATATTCTAAATTCTATCTTCATTAAACTACTTCTTTAATCCTAAAATATCTTAACCTATTTTTTATCTCACGGTTGTTTTCCACCAGCTCTCAGCTGGGGTCTGTTGTTTATGAGGAAGTGACTGACTCGTTCTTCTCGGCTTCCTGCTGTTACTGAAAAATATCCTTACACACCCTATGGGGCACCCTTTTTGCTGCAATCTCACCCCCATTATGCCTATGTGTAATTTTTGCTGTCAAATGCCATCATCCATTTGCGCATCTATTATCTCAGTTAAAGAGGGAACATTCTCAAGCCTATGCACACAATCCTTCAAAGTTAGGGAAGGTCGGTCAACAGGATCCATGGGCCTTTACCTCCGTCATGGCCGCATTTTACTGGGACCTTGCTCCCAGCTGGCGTTTTTCCTGTTTTCAGGTCCCTTTTACCTTACTTTTACTAGTGATTGTGGCTCCTGGCATGTACCCAGAAGTGGAATTGCTGGATCAAATGATAATTTTGCTCTTAATTTTTTGAGAACTCACCATATTGTTTTCTACAGCAGCTGCACCATTCTACATTCCTACCAGTAGTGCACAAGGATTCCAGTTTCTCTATGTTCTTGTCCGCACTTGTTCTTTTTTTTTAAATAGTAACTGTCCTAATGGATGTGAGATGTGTAGATTTTTGGTCAAAATTGCATTTTAGCCAAATGAATCAGCTAGCCATCTGAGAAATGTATTGACATGAGGAAGTTAGGAGGTGCTTGCACTGACTTAGGTTTGTAGTAATTAGGAATTTATTTCAATGTGGTGGGATGATGTAATTTTGAGAGGTGTTGGAAAAATGGAAAGAACTTATTTGAATTTAGAAAATTAGGTAAGAAATGACATGAGAACGACTTACATTTTGATCCTGACTAATAGAAATGAGGAAGTAAAGGGAAGGAGAGAAAGAATAGTGTATTGGTCTTTAGGATTTTGGAAGATGGGAATGTTGTTATGGAAATAAATGCCTGGCAGGGCAGCTTGAAATATGGGAACACATTATAGGTGAGGAAACAGGTCTGGAAACTTGTTTTTGTGAGAGCCAGTGGGATAGAGGTCATAGTATTTCTCTTTGAAATATTCATTTACTTTAGAAAAAAATAATCTGATAAATTTTTCCTTCTTAATTTTTTACAGCTCTTGCAAGCTTAGGATATGAAAAGAGCTGTGTGTTGTTCAATTGTGCAGCCTTAGCTAGCCAGATTGCAGCAGAACAGAACCTGGATAATGATGAAGGATTGAAAACCGCTGCTAAGCATTACCAGGTATGCAGAAAAGTAATTACTGCATAATGATCAACACTAAGTTGGAGTAAATGAAAAATAATTTGCATTTAGGTTTATAGATATATCTTTACACAACAGATGTTTTCTTGAAAAGTAATGTACTTTTAAGATGAATTGATTCTTGTTGTTGAAGCCCTTAGATAAACTACCTGTAGACCAGGTCTGTTTTTCCTTACCATCGTATATCCAGCACCTAGCACAGTGCCTGGCACATAAAAGAGGCTCAATAAGTGTTGGCTGAACAAATGATATTTCAGACATTTATGGTAAATTACTTTAAGTGATTTCATTAAAAAAACTTGTACATTATTTTTTATATGTTTTCTTAGAGTCAGCTATGCCTAAAATTTCACGTTACAAAATTAAGACCTCTTGGCAAAGAAATGAAAGTGTAACTTTGTGACTTGTGGAGAGGTCATATTTACATGTGATCAGACATAAAGTGTTCTTAAATTGGCTAAATCTATATTTTAGGTACTAATTGCTTACTAATATGGCATATTATTTTGTGACAGTTTATTATTTGCCCAGCTTTTTTTTTTGTTTCAGCTATAAGAACAGTGATTATTAAGTAATATCATGTATAATTATGTTTTCATATTTATATGACTTTATAATTTACAGAGCATTTTCTTTGTGATGTGTGTGATGTAATGTAATCCTATTTTGCAGGCAAAGATAAGAAGTATTAATAAAGCAGTCCATTTGGGTTTCAGGTGTTCTGATCCTAAATCTCATGTACTTCCAAATAGTCCTTCCATTGTCCCCCCCATGAAATTCGCTTGTTTCTGAGGTAGTCTTATTTTTCTCATTTTTTAAGTTCAGAGGAAAGGTGAGGAATGGTGTTCGGGAAAGTATAAGAAAAATACATGTTAAACAAACAATATGTTCCAAATTGTGGTTTTCCATACAGTTTTGGATTCGCATAGGTGACATAGTACACACACTATTTCTTTTTGAGGTCGTAAGTGGCAAATATTTAAACATATGAAAATGAAGTAAAATTTTATTTAGTTTTCTGTTAACTGTAGCTCAGTTAATTGGCATGTACGATCATAGGTCATTCTGAATTATTGAAGAAACATTCCATTCTGTGAGTGTTCATGGCAGGTCACCTGGTATCATGGAAAGAGAACTGGTTGGTGGTATTAGACCTGTAGGTCTTTGTCTAGGCTCCTTGCCCCCAGAAGAATTGTGCCCTTGGGCAAGTTTTTTTATTTTTTATTTTTTTTTAAGTTGGTCTCTCACTCTGTCACTTAGGCTGGAATGCAGTGGCACAATCATGGCTTACTGCAGTCTTCACTTGTATGCCACCACACCTGCTTAATTTTTTTTTTTTTTTTAAATGAGATCTTGCTGTGTTGCCTAGGCTGATCTCAAACTCCTGGGCTCAAGTGATCCTCCCACTTCAGCTTCCCAAAGTGTTGGGATTATAGACGTGAGCTACCATGCCCAGCCTTCAAATTCTTTAACCTCTCTAGACTTCCAGTTACTCATTTGTGAATAAGAGACTTAGATTGGTTTACTAAACAAGGTCAACTGGTCACTCTTTGCTTATATTCTAATCTTAAAATAGTTCATGAATGTGGAAAATGCAGTGTTCATTTTAATACATTTAACTTTGAGTTATCCCTGTGTAGCCTAGTTATCTAACATATAACACCTTTTAATCCCAGACTGACTTTTTCCTTTTTCTGAGTATAATTTGTTTTATAAAAGCAATGCTATTTTAGTATTAACTAAACAAAATATAATCTGATGGGGAGCATTTCCCTAGGAAGCTCTGAAGGCCAGACTGAAATAATTAGTAATGTATAGTAATACTGTTTCTCAGAGGACTGGATGTATCTACTATTTGGGGTTTCTCCAAGTTTGTCATGTTTAATTATTTGAAATGTGTACTCGTTTGGGACCAAAGCAAGAGCGTTTCAGTACTAAAAATATTTTAATGCTTATCCCTGCCTCTATTCTCATATTAATTTGGAGGAAGTATATCTAAAAATAAACTAAATCAATTTGTCCCATTAATTTACTATGTTTTCCCCTGTAATTTTTCTCTTTGTTAAATCTCTTGTTACTCTATAGAGTTTTGGGAAGATACTCGTATTGTTTCTAGGTCAGATGTTTTAGATCAGTTTTGTACAATATAAACATTTAAATATGGTAGCTGTTCACAGTTAACATTTGAAATGAGTTTTGTGTGTAATAGTACAAAATTACGTCTTGCTGAGTTCCTATAGATTTTTCAAAAAATCTTTTTTCCCCCTCTAGTTTGCTAGTGGTGCCTTTTTACATATTAAAGAGACGGTTTTATCTGCCTTAAATCGGGAGCCTACTGTGGATATATCTCCAGATACTGTTGGGACCCTCAGTCTTATTATGTTGGCACAGGCCCAAGAAGTATTTTTTTTAAAAGCCACAAGAGGTAACTCCAATTTTTTTTCTATTTTGTTGCATGTGAAAAGAAGTGATAAGCTTTTAGACTAAAAAAGTGATGAGAATATAGTGTTTCCAATGTAGAGCTTTCCTTCTTGTACTTGATACATGGATTATTGAAAATTTTCAGCTCTACCTTTGTGAACTTGAGATACAAATGCACATTTAAGAATGTAGGTTGTGCCTGGGCTCAGTGGCTCAGCCTGTAATCCCAGCACTTTGGGAGGACGAGGTGAGTGGATTGCCTGAACCCGCGGGTTCGAGACCCGCCTGGGCAACTTGACGAGACCTCATCTCTACAATAAATCGAAAAATCAGCTGGGCGTGTAGTGTGCGCCTATAGTTCCAGCTACTTGAATGGCTGAGGCGGAAGGATCGCCGGAGCCCAGCAGGTTGAGGCTGCGGTGGCCGGGAGCGGCCATTGTACTCTAGTCTGGGTGACAGAGTGAGACTCCAACTCAAAAAAAAAAAAAGAATGTAGGTTGTGTTTGAAATCATGAAATGGGTAGTTAGCTATTATCTTTAAACACTGAATTCTGGAATAGCATTTATGTATGTTTGCAATGTTTCAAACATTTATTCAGCAAATATTTATTGGGTACTTACTATGTGCCAGTCACTGTTGTAGTTTCTAGGTAAACAAAATTAGCAGGCAAACAAGGTTCCTACTTTTAGAAAGCTTACATTATAGTGTGAAGAAGGTGATAAACAAGAATTAAGTAGACAGGGTAATTTCAGAGAGAGAGATAATTACTATAAAAAAACTAAGAATGAATTGTGTTAGTGGCTGGAGGTATGGCTATGGGATAGGAATGTAGGGGGAGTTTTGCTAATTTTAGATGCGTTCATCAAGAAGGCTTTCTTTGAGAAATCCTGTTTAAACTAGACCTCTAAATGACAAGGGGCCATCTAAGCAGAGTCTCAGGCCCTGTAAATGAGGGAATAAGAACAATTCTTTTTAATTTTTTTTTAAGAGGACACAGTTTCTGTCACTCAGACTGGAATACAGTGGCATGATCATAGCTCACTGCAGTTATGACCCTGTGCTCCTGGGCTCAAGTGATCATTTTGACTCAGCTTCCTGAGTAACTGGGACAACAGGTACATGCCAGCACACCTGGCTAATTTAAAAAATTGTTTTGTAGATACAGGGTCTTGTTATGTTGCCCAGGCTGGTCTTGAACTCCTGGCTGCAAGTGATCCTCTCACCCCTCAGCCTCCCAAAATGCTGGGAAAACAAGTGTGAGACATTGTGCCTGTCTTTAAGAACAATTCTTATAATACATATAAGTTAGTATGAGACAATAGAATTGACTGAATATGCAAGGACAGAGAAATTTGAAGGTAAAGAGCAGTTATTATGTGGAAGAGATACAAACTGGAATAATTTTTTTCTTTTAAAATAGCAGTTTATTTTGGGATAGAATTTATATACACTAAAGTTCACTCTTTTAAAGGATACAGTTCAGGGTTTTCAGCATATTCACAGAGTTTTGCAGCCATCACTGTCTTGTCTTAGAATATTATCATCACTCCCAAAAGAAACTACGTACCCATAGCAGTCCCCCAGCTGCTAGCAACCACTGATCTATTTCCTATTTCTTTGGATGTGCCTTTGTAGTGATTAAGTTTTATGCAGAAGACTTCATTTCATCAGAAAGGAATTTTTAAGATAAATACATAAACCATGTAGTCACCTCCATGTTTATACCGAATCTTATCAGATTATCTTACATTTGTTTTAATTATAATGCTCATTTTATTATTTATTCCAGATAAAATGAAAGATGCTATCATAGCTAAATTGGCTAATCAAGCTGCAGATTATTTTGGCGATGCTTTCAAACAGTGTCAGTACAAAGATACTCTACCCAAGGTCAGTTACTGTTTTTATAAATACTTGGTTATTTTGCATGTAGAAGTATACAGACATTTTTATGTATAGGAAGAACATTGAAAATTATATATTACAAAAGTTTGAAGCTTTAATAGAGACATTTGAAGAATGTGTTTGTAGAAATAGTTTTTAAAATTTAAGATGCATGAACAATTCTTTTTATTTAGGGGATGTCTTTGTCTTTACCCTTTACTAAACTTGTTTTTCCAAGCTAAAACTCTTTCTGGAAAACTTTGACCATGTGTTTTCCATCATTTTATCAAATCAAGACATTGTATAGTTCTGAATCATTGGTGATTTGATACAAGCATGTATACTTGAACATGTTGATTTTTCACACTTTTAATTACTGTCCTGTTTTCTTAAAGATGAGTCTTAAAGTGCAAAAACAGAAAGAAACAAGGAAAAGAAACTTAACAAATTCATCTGATATTTTGATTATAATTAAGTTTTGCCAACAGGGATAGAAAATTGAGCTGCTAATGGACAGCTAAGGAAAAGCAACCATCTTAACCCACAAATCACAGGAAGTATAATGTTTTAATGTAAACTTTTCTGAAGTGGCGATTGAAAAGACTATTCAGTGATGATTATTTGTAAATGACAAAGCAGATGACTAGGGCAATATAGATTTGGAATGGTTAAAAAAAGAAAACTTAAGATTGAGTGAAAATTAAGCTACTCTCCAGAAATATTCAAGGAATTAGCTGCATCTGTGTGATGATAGCATATAGTATTTGGTACATGATTTTTTGTAGGGGAATTTGTTGATTTATAAGTCATATTCAGAAATCTTTGTACACTACAAAATTGGAGACAACTTTAGGGTAGATTAAAAATGTACATAAGTGCATCAATAGCACACATTAGTCAGAAATTGAATAATAGAATTAATGTGAAGATTCCTGGGAATTTAAAATATATCAAGAGCCTAGTAGAAATTTGTCTAGGACTTCAGGGTATTAATAGCCTTACTCTTGAAGAGACTTGGGATCTCCTCTCATCTTTTTCTCATCTGAAAGACTTCATGTTCAGCTGCACAGTGTACCGTTACATCTTGATGGGCCATTATTTCAGTCCTGTCATGGAGAGAAGAGTGTCACCTACAAAGACTTGGAAGCTACCTCTGCAGCATTCCTGGTATTCCTTGAAAATCTCCTGTTAAAATACCAAGTTGCTTCAGCAATACCTTGAAAACTGTCACGAATGCAGTTTGAAATTTAGATGTCTTTTATTTTTTCCTTTTTAATTAATAAAGCTCATAAAGTATTTTCATATTCTAGTTATAAAACTGGAATATCTGCAAGTAGTGACCCAGGAAGCTAGGAAATTATTCACTGGGAGACAGGAAAACACTCAAGGTAGTAATTCAGTTTTTGATTTTCTATCTTTTTGTCTAGACAGTGATTGTCTAGTATATTTCTTGGATTTTTTAATATTATGTACTTCCTAAAAACAATGAAGTTGCAGGCTAGGATTTGTCATTTTGGAAGAACCTCTACCAATATTACTGCTTTTCTGGTTCATGTCTTTGGATCTTTTAAAATTGATTTTTACTGGAGTTACTTTCAAAACAAATTGGGCAGAATAACACTATCATATCATTAGTCTTGAACTTAGTGTATTTGTGATATGTTTTTGAGTATATGATACTAAGATATTCATGTTTATATGATACTAAATTTTGGTATGGCCAAAACATCTTTATTAAGAATTCTCTTAGGATATAAATTTGAGATCTTACTTTACTGTCTTTTGTCTTTTAAACATGATGAAACAGTCAGCTATAGAGCAATTTCATTAGTGTGTGTGAGTAATGGTGGCTTAGTTAACTTTAAGGGCTGGGTAAGGGCTTATAAGAAAGCTTCTAAAGTCCCGTGCTTGGTATTCCTCTGTGAATGTTTGTTCTACTTCTCTTTCTAATCATGCATGCTTTTCTTTCCTCTTTGTAAACACAATGTTGACTTCATGGATCAATTAAAGAGAACTGTGAAAACCTAAATTGGCTTCAATTAACAGTTAAAAAAAACTTAATTTTAAATGGAGGAAAAAAATTGAATTAATGGATTCCAATTCACGCAAAATCATGTGGTCTTCTCTGTTTACACCTAATGACTAACCTACCTCTAAACCATTAATGGGGTGATTCTAATTTCTGTCTCCTTTTCCTTTTTCTTCCTGCATCCCATGTTGTCTGTGGTGGTTTGTGTGGTTGGACTCTCCCCTGGTCAGTATTTTTATTTCCAGGAGGTGTTCCCTGTCTTGGCTGCAAAGCACTGTATCATGCAGGCCAATGCTGAGTACCACCAGTCTATCCTGGCAAAACAGCAGAAGAAATTTGGAGAAGAGATTGCAAGGTTACAGGTGAGTTTCTTGATGATAAATATTTAAGTAACTAACTTGGATCTCCATTTTTTTCCTAGTGAGATTTCTAGGTTTACTCATAAAAACCTTTCTCATTCATTGCCCTGTCAACAGAGACAAACGTTTTTATCTTTAGGCTTTACCTACTGCATGTTTTTTTGAAGTCTCATAGCTTATCTAAAAAATTTCATGAAAAATTCGCATTGTTATTTTTTTATCCATGTTTATTTTAATGTAAAAATATTCTAAATTAATTGCCATGCATCAGGAATGTGTATATAAATACATAAATAGATGTAACTGCAGGTACCGTCTATGCAGTTGAATTCATATTGTTGGCATTGTCAGAATCTTGCTCTGACATCTCTGGAAACCTTGCAGCAGGAGCAAAAGCTGTTTATGTGAGTTATTTGTGTTTTGATTATTGGCAGAGGTAGGAAGAGGACTTAGGGAATTTGAATTAGGGAAATTCAAATATGGATCGGATATTAGGAGGACCTATGGATGTCTTAGTCTGTTTTGTACTGCTATAACAGAATACCACAGACTGGATAATTTATAAAGAACAAAAGTTTATTTCTCACAGTTCTTGATGCTAGAAAGCCTACTGTCTAGGTGCTAGGCGCCTTCGTGCTTTGTCATCCCATGGTGGACGATGGAAGGACAAGAGAGCAAAAGGGGGGTGAAATTGCTTTTATATTAAAGACACTCTCTTGATAACTAATCCATTCCTGCGATAATGTTGATGCATTAATGAGGGCAGAGTCCTCATGACCTAGTCACTTCTTACTTGGCCCCACTTCCCAACACTATTGCTTTGGGGATTAAGTTTCCAACACATGTACTTTGGGGGACACATTCAAATCATAGCAATGGAAGTGTTGCTTAGGAAGTTTAGACTAGTCTTTTCATGAGAAAACAAACGTGCACTAACCAAATTAGAGAAACATTAAAAACAAACAAACAAAACAAATTTTCAAACCTGGATTTGTCCAGGCAATTATGTTGATTTTAGTAACTTAGATTCTTACATAAAATGCTTCTGAGCAAGGAATTAGTGTGGAAAGGATTAAAAAAAAAACAACTCATATATTTAAATTATTAGAAGTTTAGTTTATTTTCTAGAAATTCTGGGACTATTAGATTCAAGTAGACCTATAATTAGTCTTTCTAAACCAGCTAGAGGTGAACTCATTTTGATGCTTTAATCTCATTTTTAAATGCCACTGGAAAAGGGAAACTATTTAAAATTCACACAATGAGAGGTAAGACTTTCCTCAGTAATAGACACATAAACTTACTCCTTTTTTTTCCCCCCTATGAGTTTATAGCATACCTATAGTTCTAATACCAGTTTTGCTATTTGGGAGACTGTTCAACTACATTTACAAATCAAATTTGATTTACAAGTTTAAAAAGTGATTTCAATTTGTGCATTTTTCCATTTCCTAGTTTACACTGAAGATGTAGCTTTTGTTTTGTTTTAGTTATCTTTAAGCATTGTATCAGTTTTGGAAGTTAAGATTTTTATCATATTAAGAAACTATATATTTCTATTTTGCTAAGATTTAATAAAAATCAGGAATATTGAATTTTATCAATTACTTTTTCAACATCTATGGAGTTTTTTTAGCTTAAATTTGTGATTTTGGAAAATTACATTAATAGGTTTTTAGTATTAAAACATTTTTGTATTCTTTAGTTTTGGTGTTTCAGACTTGCTTTGTCTCCTCATCTGGTCATTTTATGTACATAGGTGTTTTCTATGTGCCTGAGAATATAATTTGTTCTTTAATAGTGGAGTCTAGCTAGCATCCTCTATATTTGGTAAATCAAACTCATTAATTGTGTTACTCAAATCTTCTATAATTTCACAAATGTTTTGTTTACCTAGTCCAGCCATTGTAGAGACAGGAGTGTTAAAAATTCTTCCAGTTTGATTATAGTAGACTTAACATTTTCTCATGATAATTGTTTATATAGATAGAAACTGTTAAATGCAAAATTTAAGGAGCTTTGTGCCTTTTTGGCAAATTGGCAGTGTTAAATAAAGCATTATTTGTCCCTAACAATACTTGGGTCTTATTGCCTATTTTAGATGATGTTACTATACCTAATACTACCTAAGTAATACAGTTTGAGCCTTAAATCTGTGTGAAGCGTATATTCTTTACATACAGCCAAACTTAAAATTCTTACTGACGCTGAAATGACATGCTACTTTGTTCACTTCCTATGTTGCTGGGTATTTTTTTTCCAGATCTACCCTTTCACTGAGGGTGCAGCCTTTGAGGTTCCTGCCTTCATGTGAAAGAGTGAAGGAGGAGCGCCTCAGTTCTTTGTCTTGTGTGCTTTCAAGACTCTTGTCTCAGGTCTCCATGAGGACTTTTAATAAGTTTTAACTGCTATTCTTTCATTATAGAAATAACCCAACAGCGAGCCTTCTTCAATGTCAGTTTATACTGATTGTCCCATAGATTTCTTTTACTATCTTGGTAATTTACCTATGTGTTTATAGACATGTCTGCTATGTATTATCTTTCAATTCTTGGGTATTTTTATGATGGGAGAATAAGGTTATTCTGTCAGCCACATTGCTAGAAATATAAGGCCTCAAATTAAAGATTTGCCACTTGTACCCCACATTTCTATTATAAAATAAAATAAAATAATTAAAGATTTGTTTTAAAACCAAAACTGATATTTGATGGAGAAAGAGAAATAAAATGGTTTTTTTTTTGGACATTTTTCTTTTTAGCATGCAGCAGAATTGATTAAAACAGTGGCATCTCGTTATGATGAATATGTCAATGTGAAGGATTTTTCTGACAAAATCAACCGAGCCCTTACTGCAGCAAAGAAGGATAATGATTTCATTTATCATGATCGAGTTCCAGACCTTAAAGATCTAGACCCTATTGGTAAAGCCACTCTTGTGAAATCCACCCCAGTCAATGTACCTATCAGCCAGAAATTTACTGGTATGTTAGTTATTCAGACCTACTTTAATCTTACTCATCTTTTCTTCAGCTTAATCTATATTTTCTAACTAAATGCACACAATTACTATTGTATGCTTTGAATATAATTTGTGTACATGTTCAAAATGAATGTAAGAATAAAAATTGTGTCTTCAGTGAAATTCTAAGATGGAAAGTAAATGATGATAAAGCATATATAAAATATACAATAGTCATAAAATTTGAAACTGTGTATTTATTGAAGACTTCAGTCCGGGTAGTGTGGCTCACACCTGTAATCCCAGCACTTTGGGAGGCTGAGACAGGGGGATCGCTTGAGCCCAGGAGTTCAAGACCAGCCTGGGCAACATAGTGAGATCTCCTCTCTGCAAAAAAGTAAAAAAATTAGCTGGGTGTGGTGGCATGCACCTGTAGTCCTGGCTACTCAGGAGGCTGAGGCAGGAGGATCACCTGAACCCAGGAGGTTGAGGCTGTTATGAGCCATGATTGTTTGTGCCACTGCATTACAGCCCTGGGTGAAACAGTGAGACCCTGCCTCAAGGAAAAAAAAAAAAAAAAGACTCCAGCTGTTGTCATTTTGTTAACATTTGTTATTTAAGATCTGCCATTAAAAAAATACATAAACATTTCTTTAAACATGCAAACTACTTCTGGAGTTATATTTATTATGAGATAAATAAATGTTATAATATTGTAGATCTATACATTATCTGGTAGCCTCTAGCAGAGATCTCAAGGATAACATTGTGTTACTGAGAAAGGATGATTATCTTACTTAGGTTTATTTAGCAAACACAAAGTGTTTACCATGTGCCAGGCACTCTTTTAGGCACTTTATAAATATTGGCTCATTTATTTTTATTTCTTACAACCACCCCATGAGTTTGGTACTATTATTATCCCTATTTGATTGATGAGGATACTGATACACAGAGTGGTTATGTAATTTTATCATGAATGATCAGTGTCACCAAAGTTCCCTCAAGCTCAATTGACAGATACATCTTGAAAGTTAAAGACAATTAAGTTCAAATGAAAAAACTTTTCATTGTTGACATTGTCCATGAATATATTGATCTAAAAATTCGTTATTATTGTGCTTTCAATAGTGATTTGGTTTTGATTTTTATGTATTTGTAGTCTATGTATTAGAAGTAGAAACAATTAGTTTTACAGTTTGACTTTTTGTCTTCAAATTCTGTTGTGATTTCCCTTTCTAATTTTAGATCTGTTTGAGAAGATGGTTCCTGTATCAGTGCAGCAGTCTTTGGCAGCCTATAATCAGAGGAAAGCTGATTTGGTTAATAGATCAATTGCTCAGATGAGAGAAGCCACCACTTTGGCAAATGGGTAGGTAGAGCTTTAACTTTCATAAATTTATCCCTAAAGTTTTCTGTTTGGTTATTCTTTAAAATAGTATTATGAATATTTTAGTTTTCTGAGCTTAGAACTAAAAAAATAGACACACATTTTTTGGGGACACCTTATTTATTAAGCCCTAGCAAATACAGTTGGAAGAAATTTAATTACAGAAACAAGATGAGAATATTTGACAACTAGTTTGTATTTTAAGAAATATTTATTTGAGGGAACTGAAAAATAGAAATGAGCTCCTTAAGATACATGGTGCATTTAGTATTCTGAATCAATTTTTGTTAGTTTAGACTAAGAAAATAATTCATTAATTAAAAAAATTAGGTATGATTTGCACACAGTAAAATACACCTATTCTAAGTGTACGGTTCAGTTAGTTTTGATAACTGTATGTACCCGTGTAGCCATCACCACTACCATGATCAAGATAGAGACCATTTCTATTATCCAAAAACATTCCTTTATGACTCTTTCCCTTTATTCCCTCCTCTTATGGCCCCTGGCCGCTACTGTTCCCTGTCATTATAGGTTAATTTTGTTTTTTATACAATTTAAAAGAAATGTAATAATTATAGCATATACAATATAGTACCTTACAGTATTGTTATAGTATATACAGTATGCCGTATTTTTAGTATATACAGTGTATACGCTATACTTTCTTCCCTTAGTGTAATGTTTTTGAGATTTGTTTGTGTTGTTTGTATCAGTTTAATTATCTTTATTACTGAACAGTATTCCATTTTATGATTATACAGCAGTCTGTTAATTCTTTCACCTGTTGATGGATATTTCCGTTGCTATGAACATTCATGTACTTAGATTACTTGTGTTCTGTTGATATTTTGCCTAGTTGATAATGAAGATAAACCCTTGTGCGGACATGTTTTAATTCTCTTGGGTAAATACCTAGGAGTGGAATTGCTGAGCTGTACAGCTAGTGCGTGTTTAACTTTATACTGAATTGCCAGATTGTTTTCCAAAGTGGTTGTTTCATTTGATATCCTTACTGGTAGAGAAATATAGTTACTCTGCATCCTCATCAGCACTTAGTACCATCAGTCTTTTTAGTTTTAGCTATTCTAGTGTGTGTGTGTAGGAATATCTCATTGTGGTTTAATTTGCATTCCCCTAATTACTAATGATATTGAAGTACTTTTCATGTGCTTGTTAGCCATTCATGTGTCTTCTGTGAAGTGTCTGTTGAAATCTTTTTCGCATTTAAAAAAATTGAGATTTTCTTAACTGTCTTTAAAGAGTTGCTTATATACTTTGGAGGCAAGTCCTTTGTCAGATGTATGTAATTGAGAATACAGTTGACCCTTAAACAGTGGTGGAGGTTGGGATGTCACCCCCACTGCATAACTTTTGACTCCTCAAAACCTAACTACTAATAACGTACTGTTGAAGCCTTACTGATAACACTGATAATACATATGTATTATTTATTATATTCTTACAATAAAGCTAGAGAAAAGAAAATTCTATTAAGAAAATCATAAGGAAGAAAAAATATATTTACTATTCCTTAAGTGAAAGTGGGTCATAATAAAGGACTTCATCCTTGTTTTAACATTGAGTAGGCTGAGGAATAGAGGAGGAAAAGGAGGAGGGTATTGGTCTAGCTGTCTCAAGGGTGCCAGAGGTGGCAGAAAATCCACATGAATGAACCTGTGAAGTTCAAACCTCTGCTGCTCAAGGGCCAACTGTATTTTCTCCTAGTCTGGCTTGCCTTTTCATGTTTTTAGTTTTGATGAATGTATGAATTTTGAATTTACTTTTCTTTAACAAAAAGGGAATCAGTTTACTCTAGCATATGATTAAGAGGCAGTCTGAGTTTTCACAGAGCTTATTTTCTGAGATCATTTTGTTACATCATGTCATTTGCTTTTTTGTCTTTACGTAGTAGATAGGGATGCGTTTGTGCTTCTTCTGTTATGTTAAATGAAATAACTGTGGAATTGTGCCACAAAACTGAGAACAGATGAAGATTCTGTCATGAATACTTAGATTACTTGTGTTCTGTTGATATTTTGCCTAGTTGATATGAAGTTTTAACTATTTTATATTATTTCTGATTTGGTAGTGATGATGTAAAAATTAAAAAAGACTGCCTTTTTTTTTTCTTGAGTTGGAGTCTCACTCTGTCATCCAGACTGGAGTGCAGTGGCCGCTCCCGGCCACCGCAGCCTCAACCTGCTGGGCTCTAGTGATCCTTCCACCTCAACCTTCCAAGTAACTGGAACTACAGACGCTCGCTACCACGCCCGGCTAATTTTTTTGGATTTATTGTAGAGATGAGGTCTCGCCAAGTTGCCCAGGCAGGTCTCGAACCCGCGAGCTCAGGCAGTCTACTCATCTCAGCCTCCCAAAGGCGTGGGATTACAAGCTGAGCCACCGAGCCCGGCCCTTTTTTTTTATTTTGAGTGTTCTGTTGTTCAGGCTGGAGTACAGTGGTCCAATCATGGCTCCATGGCTCATCTCAGCCTCAACCTCCTGGGCTCAGGCGATCCTTCTGCCTCAGCCTCTTGAGGAGCTGGTACTACAGGTGTGTGCCATTGCACCTGGCTAAGTTTTTGATTTTTTTTTGTAGAGATGAGGTGTTACTATGTTGCCCAGGCTGGTCTCGAACCCCTGGGCTCAAGCAGTCCTTCTGCATTGGTCTCTCTAAGTGCCAGGATTAGAGGTGTTAGTCACCATATCTGGTGAAGACTGCTTTTTTTAAAGATAGAATTTTTGACTTTTAATTACTTGGACTTATTTACTCTCACTTTTTAGCTTTCAATTCTGAATTGTGAACTTAATTCTTTAATGATTTTGGTTTAATTGTATCGATCACTGTTTTTCCCTTTATCTTTGCTCTAGTTTTCCATTGATAGGGCTTATTCACATTTTTTGGTGTGCTAACTCCATTGCTTTTGACTTAGATATGGGAGATTAATATTTTAAAGGTGGTTTCTATTTCTACATGACATAGTATCTCGTTTTTTTCAGGGTATTAGCTTCCCTTAATCTTCCAGCAGCAATTGAAGATGTGTCTGGAGACACTGTACCTCAGTCTATATTGACTAAGTCCACATCTGTGATTGAACAGGGAGGCATCCAGACTGTTGATCAGTTGATCAAAGAACTTCCTGAACTACTACAACGAAACAGAGAAATCCTAGATGAGGTATGTTTTAGAAGATTTGCTTTTCAAGTAGAAGCACTGTGATTCTTTGATGTCCAGCAGAGATTGGGACTAGAAACTTCCTCCTGTTGGTTTTCACGGGGTAGTATTCAACACCTTGATGAATTTACTGTAGCCCAGAGCCTGTTCTTCAGCCTCGAGAAATTCTGGTTGAGTGAGAATGAGTTCATTCTTATCTTAAGGATAAACAAGTGTACATTAATGAAACTCATATACCACTGTGTGAAACTAGTATACTATGAGAAATTACTCTCACACAAACTGTCAAGAGTCTTCATAATTAATGATTTATTCTGTACATAGGCAGATCAGCTTTCTTTGTTGTTATTTTTATTGATCTTTTTCATTGCCAGGATATCTAATTGGTTCTTTTAAAAACTCACCTTTGTTTATTTTAAAACTACATTTGGTTCCTTTTTTTGAGATAAAATTTACCTAACATAAAATTTGCCATTAACCTCTTTATAGTGTTATCACCCCCAAGAGAAGTCCTGTACCCATTAACAGTTACTCTTCATTCTCTCCTTCCCCTTACTCTTGGCAACCACTAATTTGATTTCTGCGTCTATAGATTTGCCTCTTCTGGATGTTTTCTATAAATGGAATATATAATATGTGGCCTTGAGTTTGGCTTTTTTTTTTTTAACTTAGCATAGTGCTTTCAGGTTCATCCATGTCGTAGTATGTGTCAGTACTTCTTTTCTTTTATGGCTAAAATAATATCCCATCGTATTGTTATATCATATTTTGTCCATTCCTCAGTTGATGAATATTTGGGTTGTTTCTACATTTTGGCAATTCTGAATATAGTAGTTCCCCCTTATCTGTGGGGGGTGCATTTTAAGACCCCCGGTGGATGCCTTGGATAGTAGCAAACCCTATATATTCCGGGTTTTTTTCCTATCTGATAACCCATATGACTCCTGAATGATTAACTGGCAGGTAGCATACACAGGGATGATTCATGACTCAGGCAGGGTTGAGCAGGACACTACTCAGAACAGCTTACAGCTTAAGACTTATAAACTGTTTATTTCTTGACTTTTCCATTTAATAGTTTCAGGCCATGGTTGACTGCAGATAACTGAAACTGCAGAAAACAAAACCATGGATAAGGGAGAACTACTATAATGCTGCTACTTATGTACAAGTTTTTGTTTGAAGACCTGTTTTAAATTCTTTTGGGTATGTACCTAGGAGGAGAGTTGCTGGGTCATGTGGTAAGTCTAACTTTGCTTTCTTTTGAGCTGATGTCACACTCTGTCACACAGGTTAGAGTGCAGTGGTGTGCTCACAGCCACCACAGCCTCAACCTTCTGGGCTCAGGTCATCCTTCTGCCTCAACCTCTCTAGTAGCTGGGTCTACAGGCATACACTACCGCACCTGGCTAATTTTTTGACTTATTGTAGAGACGAGGTCTTGCTGAGTTACCCAGGCTGCTCCTGAATCTGTGGGCTCAGGCAGTCCTCTCGCTTTCACCTCCCAAAGTTCTGGGATAGCAGGCATGAGCCACCAATGCTGTAAGTTTAACTTTTGAGGAACTGCCAAACTGTTTTCCAGAGTAGCTGCTCCATTTTGCATTTCTATCAGCAGTGTATAAGGGTTCCAATTTGTCCAAAGTTTTGCCAACTCTTATAATTATCCATTAAAAAGAATTATAGCCAGCCTAGTGTGTGTTGTGGTTAGATTTGCATTTTCCTAATGATTAATGATGTTGAACATCTTTTCATGTGCTTATTTTATTTTTTTATTTTTTTTATTTTTTTTATTAATCAATATTTTTATTATGGTTTTGTGGGGTACAGTTAAGGGTTAGGTGTACAATTACGTTTCATTCAGGCACCCTGTTGATAAGAGGTGTTTTCCCATCCCCAGACAGATATTTGCCACTGTTAATCCCATCCCCCTCCCCCACCATAGTTTCCCAGTACCGTCAGTCATTTTCTTATAGTATTACATTGGATGTTCAAGGTCCATTATATGAGTGAGAACATGTGATACTCGGATCTTTGTTTCTGTGAGAGGTCACTCAATATTAGTCACTAGTTCCATCCAGGTTGCTGCGAAATTCATGATTTTGTTCTTTCTTATGGCTGCATAGCATTCCATCGTGTATATGTACCACATTTTTTTAATCTAGTCCTCTTTTGAAGGGCAGCATGGTTGTTTCCAGGTTCTTGCTATTGTGTGGAAAGCAGTGTGGCGATTCCTAAAAGCTCTAAAAATTGACCTTCCATATGACCCTGTAGTCCCCCTACTGGGAATATACCCTGAAGAACACAAATCACTCTATAAAAAAGATACCTGCACACGTATGTTTATCATGTGCTTATTTGCCATTTGAATATCTTTTCTGGAAAAACGTTCAAGTCTTTCACCCTTTTAGAAATTGGGTTGTCTTTTTGTTGTTGAATTGTAAGAGTTCTTTATATATTTTGGATACTAGGTCTTATTAGATGTGTGATTTATGAATATTTTCCCTCATTGTGTGAGTTGTCTTTTCACTCTCTTGATAGTGTTCTTTGATGCAGAAAAGTTTTTAATTTTGATGAAGTTCAGTTTATCTTTCCCTTTGTCATTTGTGCATTTATTGTTGTATTTAGAATTTCATTGCCACAAATCCATGGTCATGATGACTGACCCTTATTTGTTCTACTAAAAGTCTTTTATTTTACCCCTTATGTTTAGGTGTTTGACTCAGTTTGAATTAAGTCTTTTATGTGGTGTGAGGTGAAGGGGTAACTTCTTTCTTTTGCATGTAGTTGTTCAGTTTACCAGCACTAAAAAAGAATGGTTTTGCACCTTCTTGGAAAATCACTTGGTTTATACGTTTAAACTTACACAGTTACTACGTTCTTTATACTGTTGTACCTTTGTTGTAAGTTTTGAAACAAGGGAGTATAAGTTCTACAATTTTGCTATTCTTTTTCAAGGTGGTTTTGTCTATTTGAAGTTCCGTGCAATTCCATATGAATTTTAGGATCCTTTCTTCCATTTCTGTTTAAAAAAAGTTAGAAATTTGATAAGGATTGTGTTGAATTTTTAGATCAATCTTGGGAGTATTGTCAATCTTAACATTATTAAATCTTCCAATCCATGAACTCAGGATTTTTTTAAAGATATTTCATGTCTTTCAACAATTTTTCTTTTCTTTTTTTTTAGTAGGGGTCTCACTCTGTTGCCTAGGTTGGAGTGCGGTGGCATGCTCCCGGCTACCACAGCCTCAACCTACTGGGTTCCGGTGATCCTTCTGCTTCAGCCTTCCAAGTAGCTGGAACTACAGGCACACACCATCATGCCTGGCTAATTTCTTTGATTTATTGTGGAGACAAGCAACATTGTTTTATGTTTTTTAGTGTACAAGTCTCTTTGGTTAAATTTATTCTAAGTATTTTATTCTTTGTTGCTGCTATTGTAAATTGGAATTGTTTTCTAATTTCCTTTTTGGATTGTTCATTGGTAGAGTATAGAACTACAACTGATTTTTGTATGTGGGTTTTGGATTCTGCAACTTTACTGAGTTTGTTTATTGTCTCTAATAGTTATTTTGTGAATTCCCTAGGAATTCCTGTATATAAGTTCATGTCATCTGCAAACAGGCAGATGACAAAGTTATTCAGTTTGGATGACCTGTTTTATTCTTGTCTAATTGAGTGCTGAATAGAAGTGGTGAGAGTGGATATTCTTGTCTTGTTCGTGATCTTGAGGGGAAAGCTTCCGGTGTTTCACTATTAAGTATATTAGCTGTGGGATTTTCATAGACTGCCTTTATCATGTTAGGAAGTTCCTTTCTATTTCTAGTTTGTTGAGTTTTTTTTTTTTTTTTGGGTCATGAAAGAGTTGTATTTTGTCAGATGTATTTTCTGCATCTCTTAAGATGATCATATGGTTTCTCTTCCATTCTACTAATGTGGTATATTACATTAATTGATTTTCAGATGTGAACCACCCTTGCATTGCTGGGGTATCTTACTTGGGCATGGTATATAGTCCTTTTAATACACTGCTGGATTTGGATTGATAGTATTTTGTCGAAAATAAGGGATATTGGTGTGTAGTTTTCTTGTAATGTCTTTGTCTGGCTTTCAACTTGTGTGTCCTTATAGTTGTGTCTTTTGTAAATAGCATATAACAAGATTTTTCTTTTTGGCCCAAACCGGTACGATGACCACTTGTGTATCTAACCCTGAATTGTATCCCACATCTTTAAAATAAAATTAAAAAAAAGGAATTTAGAAGTGTCAGTGCTGGCACTTCTTGCCAACACTGAGTATATGGTACTAGTAAATAGGCTGTATTGCCAGACCTGCTGTGCTTGCCCTCTATCTGGAATTCTGACATTAGAGAAAATAGTGGTGGAATGTTCTTCACTCAGCATCCTGTTTTTTTATAGTATGTAAAATTTAAGAATTTTCCAGTAAGAAACAAACAAACAAAAACCAAGATTTTTCTTTTAAATTTAGATTGGTGATCTTTGTCTCAGTCTGGAGGGGCTAAATCCTTTGTCTCTAATTTCTAAAACATATTAAAAATATTTACTGTTTATTCTTTATCTTACATTTCTAATATCTGTAATTTTTGTGGGGTTGATTCTGTGATTTGTTATTTTTGCTGATTTTTACTCATAGTGGCTTGTTACCTTTTGTATTCTTTTTTTCTTCTTAATGTTCTTTATTTTGAAACTTTTATTTTTTTGGAACAGTTTTAGATTTGCAGAGAAGTTTCAAATTCAGTGCCAAGAGTTCCTGTATATTCTTCATCTGGTTTCCCTGAGTTAAAATCTTATGTAGTCATGATATGTTTGGTGCATATCATTACTCTGTTTTTACCAGCTATTCCACCAATGTCCTTCTGTTCCAAGATCCAGTGTAAAATACTACATTGCATTTAGTGTTCAGTGAGCTTTGATTGTTAATACACATTTCCTGGAACTTATTTGTGGGAATTCTTTGAGATCTAGGTTTAAGGTGAGTTCTTCTAGAAAGGAATTGTGTTTGCTTCTGCCATAAAAAGGCATTAAACTTGACTTCTCTTCTTTCCTATTTTTTCCAGTTAATTTTTTTTTTTTGAGTTGGAGTCTCACTCTGTCAGACTGGAGTGCCGTGGTTGCTCCCAGCCACCGCACCTCGGCCTGCTGGGCTCCGGCGATCCTTCTGCCTCAGCCTTCCAAGGAGCTGGAACTACAGGCGTGCACTACTATGCCCAGCTAATTTTTTTTTTTGAGTTGGAGTCTCACTCTGTCACCCAGACTGGAGTGCAGTGGTCGCCACTGCAGCCTCGACTTGCTGGGCTCCAGCGATCCGTCTGCCTCAGCCTTCCAAGTAGCCAGAACTACAGGCGCGCTACCACACCTGGCTAATTTTTTTGATTTATTGTAGAGATGAGATCTCACCAAGTTGCCCAGGCGGGTCTCGAACCTGCGGGCTCCTAAAGTGCGGGATTACAGGCTGAGCCACCGAACCCGGCCTAATTTTTGTTTTATTGTAGAGATGAGGTGTCGCCAAGTTGCCCAGGTGGGTCTCGAACCCGTGGGCTCAGACAATTCACTCACCTCGACCTCCCAAAGCTTTGGGATTACAGGTTGAGCCACCGAGCCCGGCCAGTTAATCTTTTAATAAGAAATTTACCTTAGGACTTGGTGTTGCACAGATAGTGTGGTTTTTAGTCCTAAATTCAGACATTTGACTAGTAATCTCAGATAATATTTCTTTTTTCTTTTATATTTAGAGCCAAGGTTCGACAGGCGAGTTTTCTTTTGTAGCGTAATTTTCCTTTTTAAAAATTCATCCACTAAGAGTTACCTATTTAAAAATGCTGCACTTTGAGGGGGAAAGAGTGCCTTTGATCAGAGCTCTCACTCTTTATTGGGACCCACCTATGTTTATTTTTGCCTTCTCATGTGTTAAATTTATTCTCTTAAGCCAGTGACAAACTACATAGCTGGCAGACTATGGACAGTGTACCAATTCTGGCTTGGGGCCCATTGTTGTATTTGTTAAGGATGACTTTTTAAAATCATTTTTAGAGGGTTGTCAAAAAATAATCATGTGTGACAGAGACTGTTTGCGGCCCACAATGCCTAAAATATTTACTCTTTGGTGATTGACCAAAAAGTACGGCTGCTCTTTGTCCTAAGCTATCAGGGATTGTCAGATACTATTGGCTCTAGCACTGTGTCTACTTTTTGTGTTTCTGGTGCCCTGTTTTCCTGTCTTCTCAGCTATCCACTAAAAAGGCATTTTAAAATATGTTAAACATAATTTTCAGTTTGTTGTATTGGGATGAAAATTTAAATCTTTTATTTTCATGTAGTTTGTCAGTTTTTCCCTTTGTTTTGTTTATGGTTTCTGAGGTTGAAAGGTTTTGTTTATGACTTCTGTTTATTTTAACCTTAAAACTTTCTTGGTATATAGATACAAATAATCTCTAATTTATTCTTTCTTTTTTATTTTATTGAGAAAGGTAATAACTAACTCAACCTTAGATTTTAGAATATTTCTTATTAAATGTATCATAACTTAGATGTCTGCAACAAAAAATGTCAAGTCAATTTTTTTCTAACGAGTAGTGTAGATGTTATTTCAGCATACTAAATTATCACCTATGTTGAGTATAATCACTTTTAAAATGCTTTACATTTTTATACCAGAAACGATATTTCCATGTTGTTTTGCTTTCCTTTAAAGTCATTAAGATTGCTGGATGAAGAAGAAGCAACTGACAATGATTTAAAGGCAAAATTTAAAGAACGCTGGCAAAGGACACCATCCAATGAACTCTATAAGCCTCTAAGAACAGGTAATGTATGTAAATGACCTTTATGTGAATAAATTTCCAATTCAGATCCATATTGCTGCTTGATTAAATTGGGCTCAGTTGTAAACTATGTTTTACTGAAATGGGGTATACTACTGTGAAAATCTAGGTGTTTTTCCTCAGTTTAGTATAAAGATAAAAAGTAACAAAAATAATCTGTGCTCATTGTAAGAAATTCAGATCCTTAAGGATATAAAGCAAAAACTAAAATGGTCCTCTAGCTCTCCTTTCCTATTTCAAATCCTGTGCATATTTTAAAATATAAATAAGATCGTGACATTTGTATAGTTTTAAAATTTCTTTTCACTTAATACTGAATCCTGGGTAATAAAAAATGAACTTTAACAGTTACCTTGAAACCAAATTTATGCTTTTTAAGACTTTATTATGGTTTAGTGCTTATTAAGATAAATGCTGTCTTTATGGTAACCAGAGACATGCTTTATTTATCTTTGTAAAAGGAATGTATACTATTGAGATTTTTCTAAAAAAAATAACTACTTTTTTTTTTTTTTATAAGTCAAGTTGATCTTTTGAGAGAGGAGTGCTTTAAAATAAGTTGTGCCAATTTTTGGAAAGAATGATTTCTTCTTATATTCATGAGTTGTAGGAAAAGATTAGCCTAATGTCAATTAGCTTTTATTTTTCAGGTAGTAACCACCAAATATATTTTAAGGTGGGGGTTCCCAACCCCCTGGCCGCAGACCAGTACTGGTCCATGTTAGGAACAGACCTGCATAGTAGGAGGTGAGTGGGGGATGAACAGAGTTGTGTCTTCTGTCATATCAGCAGTGGCATTAGATTCTCATAGGAACACAAACTCTATTGTGAACTGTGCATGTGAGGGATCTAGGTTGCATGTTCCTTATGAGATTCTAATGTCTGATGATTACCCCCCTCACCCTCGTCTGTGGAAAAATTGTCTTCCATGAAACTGGTCCCTGATGCCAAAAAGGCTAGGGACTGCTGTTTTAAGGTATAGCTGTGCTTTTGATTTTATAAATAATTTTGCCATTTTTCAAAAACAAAAAGGAAAGATTGATAGGAGCTGAGTTTTAATTATCAAGTGAATTGGGGCCGATAGAAAGGGCGATAAATAAAGTTGGGGATCAGAACAAGTAAAATCTAGTCCATAAAGATTGTTGTTAGAGTCATCTCTGTGCTCTGCAAACTTTATTTTACCCCAGAGGGAACCAACTTCAGAGCAGTTTTAGATAAAGCCGTGCAAGCAGATGGACAAGTGAAAGAACGTTACCAGTCTCATCGTGACACCATTGCACTTCTGTGTAAGCCAGAGCCTGAGCTGAATGCTGCCATCCCTTCTGCCAACCCGGCAAAGACCATGCAGGGCAGTGAGGTGAGAAGGAGCATTGTGATGTGGGCAGCCGTCTGCCTAAGAAAACTATGTTCAAACTGTTATGTACAGTGAACTGCCAATTTCTTATTGGGAGCTTTTAAAAAATACAGAAGTAAATTGAGGTTCTTATATTTATTGTATACATATTGTGTAATAATAGGTAATTATACTAATATTACTGTCCTCTAAAAATAATTTTCATTTATTGAATATCTTATGTGACCTGGGAACTAAATGCTATATACTTCATATATTCATAGCATTTAATTCAGGTTTTATAAAAGGGAGAAGCTTTGGCCAGGCATGGTGGCTCATGCCTATAATCCCAGCACTTTGGGAGGCTGAGGTGAGAGGACTGCCTGAGCCCTCGGTTTCAAGACCACCAGCCTGGGCAACTTGGCGAGACCTCATCTCTACAATAAATTAAAAAAAAATAGTTGAACGTAGCTCCAGCTACTTAGAAGGCTGAAGTGGAAGGATCACCTGAACCCTGCAGGTCAAGGAAGGCTGCGGTGGCTAGGAGCGTGCCACTGCACTCCAGCCTGGGTGACAGAGTGAGATTTCAACTCAAAAAAAAAAAAAAGAGGCTTAGAAGCATAGCATATTTGTTGAAGTGAAAGGATTTAGCCAGATATACAAACTATTTGTTTCTTACGTCATTCTATACTGCCTTCCACCTTATTTCTCTGGGACTACTGTTGAAGAGAAAATTGACAAGATGTTCATGATATTAAATAGATAACATCATCATGGTATTTCTTATGATGACAGGAAGAGAAAATAAAATAGGAGGGCATCTTATTTGGAAAGTCCCAAAAGAGGGAAGTGCAAGTATAGTGTGATGGCCTGTCATTGGAAAGTGGGGTAGTGTGGTAGGATGAGATGGAAATCCTGAAGTGCACAGGAAAACAAGCCAAAGAGCAAGAAAACTGCTGAAAACTTCTTACAAAAGGTGAATTTCCTGGGATATTAAGTTTGAAAGGTATCAATTTTGTTCCTTATTTGTTTTTCCATAGAAGCATTTCATATATTTATTCCGAGTTTTTCTGGCTATCTACTCTGTGGCACTCTGCTAGGTACTTTGAAAAATTAACATATGAATTATACATAGCCTTGACTCTCAATTTATGATCCAGTGCAGTAGTTTAGTTATATACCAGGATAACTATAATATAGGGTAGTAGTTTAAAAGTGTCACAGGGAAAGTATAGAAACTTTGCTGTAAGGACTTAGATGAAGAATTTATATTTCAGTAATTTGGAACTCTTCTCTTAGGAGGCTCTTTAAGAAATTGGTGCAGCCGGGCTTGGTGGCTCAGCCTGTAATCCTGCGCCTTGGGAGGCTGAAATGAGTGGATTACCTGAGCCCGCGGGTTCGAGACCCGCCTGGGCAACTTGGTGAGACCTCATCTCTACAATAAATTAAAAAAATTAGCCGGGCATGGTAGCATGCGCCTGTAGTTCCAGCTACTTGGAAGGCTGAGGCGGAAGGATCGCCGGAGCCCAGCAGGTCGAGGCTGCAGTGGCTAGGAGTGGCCACTGCACTCCAGTCTGGGCGAGAGTGAGACTCCAACTCAAAAAAAAAAAAAAAAAGAGAAATTGGTACATTATGAGAACAGTTCATAGGCAGGAAAATTGAACATTCATATATAGGATCCAAGAAGGGCTGAGTTAGTGGATGTGTCTAGAGAGCTATCAGAGGTACAGTGGAAACCAGCCACAGGTGCTGGGCAGCTTCCGAAGAGAAGGCTGCTTAGCTGTATCTGCACAGAACTTGAATCCTGAGGGGGAATCCAGTGGAACAAGAAACGTCAATGTTAATTAGATTCATGGAAGACATGGGGGAGAAAAGGGAATTAGTTAGAAGATTGATTTGTGAAGAACAAATAATCCATGCTGGGCATGGTGGCTCACACCTGTAAGCCAGCACTTTGGGGGCCAAGGTGGGAGGATCACTTGAGGCCAGGAGTTTGAGACCAGTCTGGGCAAATAGCAAGACCCCCATCTCTACAAACACACATACATGCACACATGCATGTATGCACACGCGCACACACACACACACACAAAACAAAACAAAAAACAAAAACAAAACAACCCAAAGAAGAAACTGCAGACCCACAGAACAGCAGTACATTCTGGTACCTTTTTTATTTTAGAAAAATATCTCTGTTTAGTGTATCTCCTCCGTGTTCTCTTTTGGTGTCTTGTACATGACTCAGAATTTATATGACTTTCGTCCTTTGATTCTCCTGCTTTCAATAGAACAGCAAAAATGGTTTGTGCAAAGCAAAAGCTGATTTAGTATGCACTGATTTGTAGATATTTTGTTCAGTTATAATAGATGCTTTTGTTAATCCTTGTTGATATTACATAGGGGAAAATAACTTACAGTCAATGTGAAGTTATTTTACTGAAGCTAGATTTTCTTGATAGAGGTAACCAAAAAATTTTCAGTATTCTACATATTCAGTTCATCACGTGCCTTATCAAATAAGGCAGGCCTCATGTTTATCAAAACTATTTCAAACGGTTGGTTGTCTTACTAGCCGATGATACATTTTAGTCAGGGTACTCAGTCATTTGAATTGCTGGTTGTTAAAGTGATACAAGGTATTTGTTTCATTATGAGGTCCAAGCTTGATGGTAGAATTGTTTTTTCTTTGATTGTGAAGTTTATTATCTAGTTATTTATCTTTAGTCTATATGGGCATTTGGTTTTAGATATTGAGATATCTGAAAAATTTTACAGACTATTATTGGTAATTTGCAAAGATATTAAATACTCAGGACCACTGGTTGTGATTATATGCAGGTGATCCACTGGGATCTGAAAGCTAGTCTGGTTGACTGGTCTAGCCTTGAACCTAGTGTGGAGCTGAGTTTGAGGAAGGAGTATCTTTTTTTTTTTCTTTGCACAAAGATAATGCTCACTTGTACTCACAGTGTTACGTGTTACATCTGCCTGGTGTGATGGAGGGGTGCCTTTGTAAAAAATCGTCATCTCCTCAGGGATAGGACGTAAAGAGAACTGTCCAGAACTGTGTGTCCCCTCCAGAGGGGGTACTTTTTTCCAATTCACAGACCAATAGAGGATCAGACTCTCAGCTTTGTTTACTAGGCTATTTTTGTTAACCCTGTTGCATGTTTCTGTTTCTCCTCCAGCTTTATTTGACTAAATTTTTTTTGTCTTTTTAACTTTTATTGTACATATGTTATAGAGATGTACAAATGACCTTTCTTATTTTTCCAATATACAAACCTTCACATGGAATAAAGTTGTAAGTCAAAGTCATCATTAAGATAATACTGTTACAGTGTTTATTTATATATTCGATTGCATCCTCCCTCAATACAAATGTGTCACATAACTACAGAGATAGTGATAAGTCAGCAAAATAACAGATACTTTAATTTTCAGTCTATTTTTATTGTTCTTTTAGCTCCTGTCTGAATACTTAGATGCCTAAGCCTCAATAGTCTATAGAGTTAACCCAATAGAGTTAAACCATAAAGCCCAACTACTAAATGATAATAATGGCTAATATGTTTGAATACTTACCCTGTTAGATATTATATTTAGCACTTTATATGGATTGTCTCAGTTTTCACAACAATTCTGAAATGGGTGCTACTATTATTCCTGTTTTGCAGATAAGAAAATTGAGTTTTCCAGGTAGTAAACTGTCCTTGGTTATACAGTAACTAATAGTCCATGATGCTCTCTTTAGGGAGTATAGTCAGAGTTGAAATTTTTTTTTTCTATCTTATGTTTCACTTTGATAGGCAATTAATTCATTTTTTCTGTATTCAAATTTTGATTTAATTTTGTTTTTTTGAATGTGTAATCCTATTCCTTCTACCTCGTTTCTGTATACTTCCTAAAACAGTATATTGCAGTATACTATATATGCTTTTGCATTTTTTTTCCATTTATCAATGTTTCCTAGAAGTCACTTGGGAGCAAGATTTTTATCCATGTCATCTAATATCAAGTTCCACTGAGTCCTTAATAGACTTTGTCATATCCATCCAGGTGCGATTATTGCTCCTTTTCCTTTTAGAGTCTGTGGTTTGAAGTTTCTTGGTCCTCTAGGGATCATATTTCTTCGTCCTGTCCACACCCTCATTTTCTTTTCTTTTTTGATAGACTCTGAATTTTAAAATTAGGATACGTGGGTGGTAAACAGAGGCCAAAAAGGACATTCATCTGAATTTAGAGGAAACCTTAGACTTTTCCTAAGGAAAAAAAAGTAACAAAGGAATGTCACTTTAAGCATTCCTGTCAAGGAGCTAGCTAGGACTGTGGAAGGAAGAGCAGGATGTAAATTCTTAGAAACAGGCAGTAGTTGGTGGGGAGAGAGTTGGAATTGCTGCCTGCAAGAAGAAACGTGGAGTGGAGATGGAATTCATGATGCCCCTTTCTTCCTGTATCTTTTCCCCAACTTTCTTTCTGTGAGCTTCATTGGGGCAAGCAGAATTGGGGGATTGGGGATGGTGCTCTCCTTGGTGGTCCTAGCAAAGTATGAAGAGAGGTGAGTGAAAGGGGCAGCTTGAAAGTGACTTTAGAGGGCACTTGAACACTATTAATATAAAGGGGTGTTTATGAATCATGTGGATATAAGTCAGAGAACATCTGAATGGAGTATAAGAGGTAAAACCCTCTCTCTTTTTTTTTGAGTTGGAGTCTCACTCTGTCGCCTAGGCTGGAGTGTGGTGGCATGTTCATGGCCACCACAGCCTCAACCTGCTGGGCTCCGGTGATCCTTTTGCCTCAGTCTTCCAAGTAGCTGGAACCACAAGATGTGCTACCATGCCTGGCTAATTTTTTGATTTATTGTAGAGATGAGGTTTCCCCAAGTTGACCAGACTGGTCTTAAACCTGTGGGCTCAGGCAATCCTCTCTCCTTAGCCTCGCAAAGTGCTGGGATTATAGGCGTGAGCCACCAAGCCCGGCCTGAGGTAAAACATTTAACAATGTGAAGAGAGGCACGAAAATCTCTTTTTCCCTCTTCCTCCTAGCATATACAATAAACACATGGCATATAGCTTCCTGTCTGTCTCTTTCTTTATCTAGCTTGTTCACTTCATATCAATCTCTGTTTCTATCTTCATGTCTGTATCTGTATATCTCTAGCTCCCTGTCTAGGCAAACCGCGCTATTTACTCTTACTTGGCAAAATTATACCTCCTCCACCTTCACAGCCATGACAGGGAGCCAATATAGTATAGATTGGTTTGGAAATTTGTTTTGGAGTTAGACTTTGGTCTCAAATTTTCCTCTGCCTGTTAGTAGTTGTGTAACCATGTTACTTAATTTTTCTGAGACTCAATATCCCCATCTTTGGAATAAAGATAATACATACATGCCTCATAGGGGTATTGTTAGGAACATTAAATTGTATTTGTGAAGTGTTTAGCACAGCGCCTGACACATAATTATTCAGTGAATTGTAGTTATTGCTACTGTTACTAATGCTGCTGCTGTTGTAATCTGAGTCAACTGAAGATATGGTGTATCTAAATACACTTGATATACAGTGTATACTTGGCTCTCTGAAAAATCATCTCTTTCTGACCTCAAATGAACTTTCATATATTATGTCCTTGAAATTGGCTTCTGGGTTTCTTTTGCAATTAAACTAAGATTTTTTTTGTTATTGTTTAGGTTGTAAATGTCTTAAAATCCTTATTGACAAATCTTGATGAAGTAAAGAAGGAAAGAGAGAGTCTGGAAAATGACCTGAAATCGGTGAATTTTGACATGACAAGCAAGTTTTTGACAGCTCTGGCTCAGGATGGTGTGATTAATGAAGAAGCTCTTTCTGTGACTGAACTGGATCGAATCTATGGAGGTCTTACGACCAAAGTCCAAGAGTCTCTAAAGAAGCAAGAGGGACTTCTTAAAAATATTCAGGTGAAATTTATATATTTAATAATATAAACATCTAAAAGTTTACTAAAAGGATATGCCTGGACTAACCCTATTTCCATTTAGGAAAATGACATTGAAGAATATCTTTGGTTAAGAGTGAAGCATGATGAATCTATATTTAGCAAAATTAACTTGGCACATTGGTTTTGCTTAAATCTGTGAAACAGTCACACTTCTGTGGCTAAAATGTTAGATGTTACTTAGAAGCTTGATGTTTGAGATATTTTGGATTGTAAGTTTTTAGTAGCTTTGGTTTTTTTATTTTGCCATATGGGAGGATATTAAAAATTAGTTGAAATCGGTACCTGTATTTGTATGGCTAACATATAGATTTCAGTAATTTCTTTTGAAAAATAATGCAAAACTAAACATGCTTAGATGTTTGAAATTAATCAGTATTTATATTTACAAATAGGTGTGAACTAACAAGACTTGAAATTTTATCTTTTTAGTAGTTAAAGTGCAGATTTAACATTGTGTATTTCCACCCCTGAAAATTATATCTCTATATAATAAGTATTCTAAAAAGTAAGGGAATTTTCATATTGATTATTTTTTTTGCAGTTGTTAAATATTAAATCTGTAATCATTGGTTACGTTTGACACCCACTGGATTTGTGATATCTTTAGTTAAGGAAAGATTTAAAGTACTTTGCTACCTCAAAACAAAGTTTATAATAGGTATTTCTAGTAATTCTGCATATATATTTAATAGTATATGATTTTCATAGTTGGAAAATATATCAATAAAAATGGTATGGGCTATGTTACTTTTATCAATAAATGTAAATACATAAATCTTTCTTTTGACAAGGTCTCACACCAGGAATTCTCTAAAATGAAACAGTCTAACAATGAAGCTAACTTAAGAGAAGAAGTTTTGAAGAATTTAGCTACTGCATATGACAACTTTGTTGAACTTGTAGCTAATTTGAAGGAGGGTACAAAGGTATGAAGTAAATACAAAATAAACAACAGCTAACAAGCATAGGTATAGTTTGGGATGTTAATGGTATTTTCAGTTGGACCAAGTTATTCTTTGCCTAGAATTTTAGCTTTAATGCCTTTTGCCTCTGTGAAATTTGTTATGAGAGGGAGAAAGCTTAATCAAGGTGACAACATTTTATGGGAACTTTAAAGAGTTAATTTTATATTTTAACTGGCAGAAAGAGGGGATACACATTCTAGGGAGTAGGAATTAGAGATGTCAAAAGTCAGTTTTTCAAGGGCTAGTAAGTTGACCAATTTGAGTGACTTATGAGGGTACAATAGTAGTCAAAGCTGATCTGTGGTGGTAGAGGTGGCGGCATGGCTTTTATATTCTTTGTGCTAGGTTGGTAATGATAGACTTGTGACCTTGTGGCCTTAGTATCATAATGCTTACCATATACGTATGAAATATGTTGTTGCCTTATCCTTTGAAAAGCTTAGGGAAATGCTTATATTTGTTTTTAACCAATTACTTTGCTTTTGAGGGAATAAATGATTTTTAAGTTTTTTTTCAGATGCACAATTCCTTTTGGAACTTAACTTCACAATGATCACTGAATAAAGTTATCTTAGTGTAAATACAGTAGGTACAATGTAGAATCCTCTGAAGAGAGGGTATGAATACTGCAAAACCTTCCAAATACAGAGGGTAGTAAAATATTTTAATTTGGCTTAAAATGCTTTGTTTAAATAGATAAGCTTAGAAAACTTTCCAGAGAGCCTTCAGCAATTCTTTTAAGAGTTTCTGAAATGATGCCTGCATTTCTGTGTGAATGTGCAAATCGAATCCCTCCACTTAAAGAGGTTTAGTGTTTTGTTAAAGTAATTGACTTTACTCTAGGAATTAGAAACATGTTCTTGATCATGAAACTTTTAACTTGTTGCATGTAGTTTTTGGTGATAATGTTCTGTAAAAATGATTTTATAATTTTTCTTTAGGAATCTTAGGTCATATTTAATATTAAGTTGTTGGACTTAAGTGGTATGAACGTGTCTCATGTAGAGGATTTCGGTTCTTCAGTGTTAACTATCTGATAAATTAACTTTAGATTGTGTTACTCCCTGAATTAATAAATTATTCTTGTTTATTACTTGTATTTGTTCTTTGCTTATAGTTTTATAATGAGTTAACTGAAATCCTGGTCAGGTTCCAGAACAAATGCAGTGATATAGTGTTTGCACGGAAGACAGAGAGAGATGAACTCTTAAAGTAAGTTTGTTTTGTGCATCAAATTGTATGTAAAGTATTTTCTTTAAAAAAAAAAACAAGGGAGACTTTTGGGGTGAACTTGTTAATGTGAGACAGCAATTTTCCTCCTTTTCTCCCAGGTATTTTACAAAGCAGCAAGCAAATAAAGCTGCATGATCTGGGAAGAAAAGGATGAAAATGAGCAGAAACTCTAAGAATAGGAAGTAACATGAGGTCATACAAATGATTACAACACAGTTCAGGGTGGCAGATCTCAGGAAGTGCCAATACAAGTAATTTATCTTGAAGTGGCAAATATGTTCTTACATAAAACTGGAGGTTGAGAACATGGGGGAAGACATAGTTAAATATCTTAAAAAACATCAGCAAAATTACTTTCTGAGGGAGCCTCCTGAGAAAACAGGGCCAGTTAACATAGGATTCATTTCCTGCTGAGTAATCAAAAAATAGTTGACACAATATCAATATAGAGATATTATATTTATAAAGGCAAAAAAAAAAAAGAGAGCAAAATTTAACAAAGCTTCTTAGTTGAAACACATTTACCAAAATAATATTGCCACAGAATAGATGAAATCTCCGAACAACAAACAGCATGAATTAAAAAACAACAAAGCAAAAAAAAAAAAAAAAAAAGAAAAAAAGCATTCACTCTAAGGAACTCTTAAGCATAAATGCTAGAACACAAGAAAAATGGCAGGAAAACAGGCTAAAATGAGTTATTATAATTCAGGAAAGAAGTAGAAAAGAAGAACAAAACCATCACAGATACAACATGAAGTGACAAGGCATGCAGGGAAAGAATAGACACTGAAGAAAACACGGGAACACAGAGTAGAAATGAGGAAATCAAAGAAAATAAACCAAAGAAAAGAAATAATTAAAAAGAATTAGAGAGAAGATGGGCATAGAAGATCCAATATATGCAATTGAGTTTCTCTTGAAGAAAAACCAAATGGTGAACAGAGCAGCTATTTCATGATACCCAAAAACATTTTCCCTAAAATAACTGAAGGCTTGTTGAAAGTATATCAGCTGGGCTCGGTGACTCAGCCTGTAATCCCGCACCTTTGGGAGGCTGAAGTGAGTGGATTGCCTGAGCCTGCGGGTTCGAGACCTGCCTGGGCAGCGAGACCTCATCTCTACAATAAATCAAAAAATCAGCCGGGCGTGGTAGTGCATGCCTGTAATTCCGGCTACTTGAAAGGCTGAAGTGGAAGGATCGCCGGAGCCCAGCGGGTCGAGGCTGCGGTGGCCGGGAGCGGCCACTGCACTCCAGTCTGGGCGACAGAGTGAGACCCCAACTCAAAAAAAAGAAAGAGTATATCATATAATGGGGGAAAAATGATCAAGAACTGTCAGCATCAAGACATATAAGTTTAATAACTAAAAGATGATGGCAGAATCCTTTAGTGAGGCAAAAAGATAAAATCACTTTATAAAAAGATGAAAACAATTTAGTCTGGCAGCATTGCATGCTAGAAGACAGTGGTGTGATTGCCATAAGAACTCAAGGAAAGTAAATATGAGCCAAGATTTATATCCAGTCAGACTGTCCTTCAGGTGTATAATAAGCCATATATTCACTAGTAATTAGTATAAAGAACTGAAAGAATACTATATCCATGATTCTTTTAGCCAACCAGATCTTTATTTTCCTCTCTGTTCATGTTTGAACGATTTTTCATAGAAGAAATGGGAGAAGCTATCAAAGAACTACCAAGAGCTACCTTCCTTCATCCCTAAGAAGGGGCAGAGTATTTTTAGAGTATTTCTTTTTGTTTTGTTTTTTGGGGTCTTGCTCTTTTACCCAGGCTGGAGTACGGTGGCACGATCATGGCTCACTGTAGCCTTGGCCTCCTGGGCTCAGGTAATCCTCCCACTTCAGCTTCTGAAGTAGCTATTACTACAGGCACATGCTACCACACCTGGCTAATTTTTAAATTTTTTTTTTTTTTTTTTAGATGAGGTCTTGCTGTGTTGCCCAAGCTGGTCTCAAACTCCTGGGCTCAAGCGATCTTCCTGCCTTGGCCTCCCAAAGTGCTACGATTACAGTTGTGAGCCACCTCACCTGGCCTGAGTATTTCTACTAAACCTATAAAAAGCAAATAATTAGAATGTTATTTATTTATTTACATATTATTATTATTATTATTATTATTATTTAGAGACAGAGTCTGACTCTGTTGCTCAGATTGGAGTACTGTGATATGATCATAGATCACTGTAGCCTCAAACTCTTCTGCTCAAATGATCCTCCTGCCTCAGCTTCCCAAGTAGCTAGGACTAAAGGTTAATTTTTAAAATCGCTGTGTAGTCTGGTTGGTCTGGCTGGTCTTGTACTCCTGGCCTTCAGTTATCTGCCTTCCTTGGCTTCCCAAAGTGCTGAGTGTGAGTCACTGTGCTGGCTATAGAATGTTTTTTGAATGACTCTAGACCTTTATCAAAAAACACAAATACTCTCCAAATTAGTCTTAAAGGTAAGAAATCTGACAAAGATTAAAACAAAACAGTCTTCAGGCCAGTTTCAGTTATGAATATGGATGTATGAAAGTCCTAAAGTAAAGCCGGGCTCGTTGGCTCAGCCTGTAATCCCGCGCCTTTGGGAGGCTGAGGTGAGTGG